TTACTGCTTTCATGTTCCTTGACACATACCATCATCCAGTCTTCTGTAGTTTCCAAGTATCTTTGGAGGCCAATTGTTGTAGTTTTGTAGGACAGTTCTAGTTGAACTAATCCTCTGCCTCCTTCGGATCTGGGCACATACAGATGATCAACATCAGCTTTGGGATGATGCATGCGGTTGCAAATGAGAAGCTTTTATTATTATTATTATTATTATTGTTGTTGTTGTTGTTGTTAGAGCAGCACGCCAACAATGATGGTGTGGGTGACGATAACTGCTGTGCGAAATCAAGGAGAAGGAGGTCATTGTTAACAATAATCTCGTCAGTAACCATAACTGAGATGTGGAATCTGGAGGGGGAGGTCATCGGTAACAATGATATGAAAGTGTCGATAACTGCTATGTAAAATTTGCATTGGCAACTGAATTTTACTTGTAATTGTATTGCTGATGGTAATAGCGAGGAATGAAAAGAAAGACGAGAGGTGGGGGCGAATTAAACAAAAGCTGCATATCGAAGGAAAATTATCGATTATGTCCACTGAAAGGTTAAAGTTCAGTCGTGATGGAAGATGACCGCCAGGCAAACACGGCATTACAATCAATCGGGGCGTGGTAAGTGAAAAGGGAGAGTAAGATGAATGCAAAGATGAAAGCGATGAGAGGCCGGAGCAAACAGGAGAGTGTGGCTAGTCAGGTCGAAAAAGGCCAAGTAGAAATGTGTAACCAAAATATAAGTAATGTATAAGCAATTTATCAAATGCAATAGAGAAGGGAGACATTTCCATCCGAAGAGATTCGCTGTATTTATTATGACATAACTTGCTATTCATTCTTCCATTTCCCGGGCTTCTATCTTCTGTCCATTGGTCGACTTCTATAACAGAAAACCGTTCAGCAGCGTTTATATCCAATCTTTAATCTCAAACTAACCTCATCATATTCGCTTTCTTGATTTACAACAATAGACTAGAGATGGAGGTTGGGAGGAGGGTAGATAGATATAAAATAAATTGCAATATAATCATATTTCAGATTGAGCATGGGAACTGTATATTTTTAGCAATATTTGTTGTCGGTGTTCAAAGCCCGAAAAAAAAAGAATTCTGAATGCTGATTTTCAAGGCAAACTCTCCTATTTGGAAGATTTGCGCAACAAAATCTTTCTATTCGATTTCTCTGAATTCTGCCAAGCTTGGTAAATATCAATAACCATTATTCGGGACAAGCTTGTCTCTTGGCTGAAATAACTACTTATTTCCTACCAATTCTAGAAAAAGAATTGTTCATTTCTTACCAATTACAAAGAAAGAAATGTTTATTTCCTACCAATTCCAAAGAAAGAAATGCTTCTTTCCTACCAATTCCAAAGAAAGAAATGCTTGTTTCCTACCAATTTCAAAGAAAGAAATGCTTATTTCCTACAAATTCCAAAGGAGGAACTGCTTATTTCCTACCAATTCCAAAGAAAGAACTGCTTATTTTCTACCAATTCCAAAGGAAGAACTGCTTGTTTCCTACCAATTCCAAAGAAAGAAATGCTTATTTTCTACCAATTCCAAAGAAAGAACTGCTTATTTCCTACCAATTCCAAAGAAAAAGAACTGCTTATTTTCTACCAATTCCAAAGAAAGAACTGCTTATTTTCTACCAATTCCAAAGGAAGAACTGCTTGTTTCCTACCAATTCCAAAGAAAGAAATGCTTATTTTCTACCAATTCCAAAGAAAGAACTGCTTATTTCCTACCAATTCCAAAGAAAGAACTGCTTATTTTCTACCAATTCCAAAGAAAGAACTGCTTATTTCCTACCAATTCCAAAGGAAGAACTGCTTGTTTCCTACCAATTCCAAAGGAAGAACTGCTTGTTTCCTACCAATTCCAAAGAAAGAAATGCTTATTTCCGACCAATTCCAAAGAAAGAAATGCTTGTTTCCTACCAATTCCAAAGAAAGAAATGTTTATTTTCTACCAATTCCAAAGAAAGAACTGCTTATTTCCTACCAATTCCAAAGAAAGAACTGCTTATTTTCTACCAATTCCAAAGAAAGGACTGCTTATTTCCTACCAATTCCAAAGGAAGAACTGCTTGTTTCCTACCAATTCCAAAGAAAGAAATGCTTATATCCGACCAATTCCAAAGAAAGAAATGCTTATTTCCTACCAATTCCAAAGATCGGTGTGCGAGCCCAGGTAAATGTTAGGATATCGAATGTTGATATCTAAATTGTGCTGAACTGAAGAGATTCAATGCTACTCACTCTCCACGGAAAAAAAATAATCGAAATTATCGTGCTTGTAAACTTTGATAGTCGAAGAAAACTGGCAAATTCTAAGACCTCTTTTAGCAGGAAAATAGCTGCATATTTGCCGCTGAATGTTACAGAATCCGAATTCTGATTGTTAAGTCAGAATTGACCACATTGTTTGGATGATTACAGTAATACAATCTTCGTGCAGTACCATAATCATCTATGCCGTACTATTTTCTTCAACATGCTCAAAGCCATATTTATACTACAATCTATGCCGAGCAGACCTTAGTTACAATTTACACGGGCGAAAGCGCATAATCTAACATGGTCAGTCGTTGAACAAGGTCAATATGTTCAAACACTCAGTCACGATGACTTATGATTTCGTGCTAGCACATTCCATCGAAGACTTCCGAACAATTATGCCTGCCCATTTTCGCTCACAAGTCTTATATCAACCTGTGGCATGCTTTTCCAAAACTGCCACACGCTGGGATCGTCTCCCTAGGCCAATGTTATCAAGAAATCATCTCCCTGGCATATCGACCACGATGGGATCCAAACTTTGGCCTCATGGTTGTATTTTGTCTTTGAACATTGAAATCTACACAAGACATGTTACCCTTTTGGCAAAAATTGGGAGATTTTAAGCTTTTTGTTATCCAAATGTATTGGAGAAATTTGTTCTTTCTCTCATGTCTATGAGTTCTTTGAGAGAATAAAGAATGGCCGATTAGCTTATTAAAAAATAATAGAAATAGATTTAAGCTCTTTCAAAAACAGGTTTGTCTACTCAAAAAAGTTTAGCCACAAAATATTAAAACTTAAAGTAACAAGAAATAATTTTGGATTCTAAATAATCTCCATTAATTCTTTTGAAATTACTTTCTTTATGTTTCGGATGTGGAAAAATTATTAGATATGGGCTTGGCGGGATCCGAACAAAAGATATGCATTTCTTCAACAGGATAATTGAATCTTAATTGATTGTGAAAGTTGTTTGTGGTTGATTGGTCTAAAAATCAAGTCGGACTATACCACAGTTTCCCTTATACGAGGATTCAAATCCCACTGGAAAACACATTGCCTTTGTTAAAACTTTAGGCACAGCTTAAAAAACAGGGTTGTCTACCCAAATATGTGTATTTACTAAATATATCGTCTAGAAAATAAAAAATGTCTTAAAATAATTGCAGGACTTTGTCAATTTCATAATGTGTGACGTCATTTGTTTACATTTGGATACGCATCGAGCAAATATGAATGTACGTGAGAGAATCATGGAAGATTGTAGTTTAAAAACAGTAAAATCGACCTTGCTGGCCGGACGCTCCTCTGTGGCGAAGTCGATAAAACCACGTCAGGCTATATGACGGTTCCATATAGAATACAGGTTCGATTCCTGTCGCAGCACGCATATTTTCAATGAAAATTTTTTGGACATTCAGGCCGTTATATTTTGTTAATACTGCTTATTATAATCAGAGCATTTACTTAAATTTTTTTATCTATAAAAAAGAATCTATAAACATATCTATGTAATTTATATATTCTATATATTCATCTCTTCGGACCGAAAGCTTTTAGCAAGAAAGCAAAATAAAACAGCTGACAGTGTTCCTGCTGCACTTGGATACAATAAATTCTCCTGTACTCTTTGTGGTCTTTGGTGCAATTCTCGAGCCGGTTTCAAAAGTCATGCCTGTCATAGGCATGCAGATATTTCGTGGTCATCGAAAACACATACATCGAACTCGGTGGGATAGTAAATCATTTTTCAACGAACTGGACGCTCCTTCTTTACACAATTCCTGTTTTTAGGCAGAAGCAGTACCTGTTATTCAATACCTTGGAATTTATGATAAAGTTCTAAAGATTTGGTATTAAAAAAAGATTATATACCCAATTATAAATTTTTAAAAATGCACAGAAATATCTATTTTATGATCAATATATAAATATCAACGCTCAGCTTAGTAAACCATAAGAAAACCCAATACCGATTAGAAGCAGTTGATTGTATTCGAATGAAAGCGTCTGAATGCCTTGAAAATCAGCATTCGAATTCACAACTCTTTAACTAGGCTTGGTCATTTGTTCTCGTAGTAATTGTCTCACCTACAGATATAAAAAAAAATGTTTTTGCTATCACTCCTGATGACCCCTACACCCGGTCAACACCCATAAAACAATATTTTAATCTTCGTGTTCATAAATGATTTCTCCATTATTTATATACCTACGACCAATATTGCTTCAGTAGTTTTTTCTTCCAAAAATAAGAGGCATTCATGGAAGCCAGGTGCGTCTTTAATAATAATTATAAATAAAGTAACTTCTCGAAATTTATGGATACGCAAAAGGTTTGGGAATTTAATATTTAATGTTATTGTGGGGGGGTGTCAAAATGTCCCGCTTCTTACAATAACCAACAAAGGTACTTGGTATTTGTCATTTTATATTTTCTCGTGAACGTTATTTTACGTGCAATCAATTCTCACTGAAAGAACTTGGCAAAGAATTCCAATCGAGAAAATAAGTGATGATTCATTTTATGATTGATTAATTCAGTCACACGCGATTGGAGCTCGTATCTTCGATTATATTCAATGCTTATCATTTCAAAATCAAGCAATTGGTTGCTAAAGCATTAAAATATTATTTTATTGATCTGCGAAATTTCCACACATTCCCTGGCCATATGAGAAATTTCTCTACATCTGCATATGGATCTTGAACATCCCACGTATGTACGAATGTGACATAATATTATGATGAAGATAGATAGATAGATAGATAGATAGATAGATAGATAGATAGATAGAGATAGATAGATAGATAGATAAAATTATAAGGTAGGTAGAATTATGAGATAGATTTGAATTGAGAAAGAAACAAAGAAAGAAACAAAGAACTGATTGTGATATAGAGAGAAAGGTGAGATAAACATGAAGTGATTAAGTTAGATAGCAATAAACATAGATAGATAGATAGATAGATAGATAGATAGATAGATAGATAGATAGATAGATAGATAGATATGAACAGTGAGGTAGAGTGGTGAGAATATTACGCAGAATCAGAAAACACGCACACACACACACACATATATATACATATATGTATATATATACATACATATTAAAATAAATATACACACACACACACACATATATATATATATATATATATATATATAGAGAGAGAGAGAGAGAGAGAGAGAGAGAGATTTATATAAATGTGCATACATATTCATATTTACAAAGCATACAGCAATCAATTATGAACAAAGCCATAATATATTGTATGCATTTGGGAACTAATAATATTTCTACTTTTCGTTAATCTTTAGACTATTTACAATACACACCATTTTTATTATAGTCGTAGAAAAGTTAAAATATTGAAAATGGTTAATTGGTTAGCCGAAAGTGAACGGAGTCAACAAATATTTGGACAATTTTTACACTCAGTAAATACTGAAAAAATAAAACTTGTCTGCATATAAGAAAATTAGAGTAAAAAATTAAAAAAATGTTTTGTTTAAAAAACATATGTTACAGAGGAACTGCTGCCCAAATATACAATTTCATATATATATATATGTGTGTGTGTGTGTGTGTGTGTGTGTGTGTGTGTGTGTGTGTGTGTGTGTGTGTGTGTTGTCTTTTTATCCGATAAGAAATAGTTTGTTGCATGTATGTATATATAGTGTTGTGCCCATGTTCATAGTGAAGTTATATTATTAAGTGTTGGTTTTTTGTGTTGTTTTTTTATTAATATTTTTATTAATTTATTTAACAGTTAAAACATAAAAAACTAAATATAGAAGCACCTTGTCTGCCGTATTCGATGAAATGTCCATATATATATATATATATATATATATATATATATATATATATATTATGTAAAAAAATATGGCAAACTGGAAAGGTGACGCGTTTCATCCGTAAGGATTTCATCGGACTGGGCTTTAATGACATTACTTCTTCTACAAGTGACGCAGTTTCAAAGTTTTTGAAAGAATTTTTTGAAATATTTATATATATATGTATATGTGTGTGTGTGTGTGTGTGTGTGTGTGTGCGTGCGTGTGCGTGTGTTGTATAAAATAAATGCTATTTTTTCATCACTAGGCTATAGATTTATTGATATACTTATCTGTATATCGTTTCAAATGCCTTCAATCGAATTTATTAATTTAGTAAATGCAGAGTAACATATTCCTTTTAAATAGGCATCAGTATGTGTATGTACATATATATATATATATATATATATATATATATATATATATATATATATATATATATATATATATTTATAAAAGTTTTAAAAAGTTCTCAGTTCGACACATTTCCCAAAATCTGACCAAACCTTTCTTAGTGAGGTAGAGAACTTTTCAGCATCCCCTCGTTCGATTGACGTCATAAATATTCCCTTTTGAATTCAGTGCTTTAACAAGGAAGAAGATTGTGTTGGAAAATTAAATATGCGTCTTGATTCTTTTCCTCATTGGGTCCCGGACTTATTGATTTACTGCTGATTCTCTTTACAGGTGTAAATACTGATGATAATAATTTTTGTTGGGTTGGGAAACGTATGTTCATGCAAATTTATGGCCGTCTGCTTATATTCCTGCATCCAAGTAAGCGCTTAATTTTTGTGTATGGACAAGAATGTATGCCCTTGATTCTATGTGTATATGTGTTTACGAGTGCATGTCTATGTCAGTATAATTGTATATATGACCATGTATTTTTATATTTAAATATATGTGTGGTCCTACATGCCAGTTTGTGCGCATGCGTTTGCGTCTGTGTCAACACCTGTGTATTCAGTCGGAGACATTACCAATCACTCAAGGCGATTTTTTAATCTATTTTTGCAATTTCTGCTATTCAGTGAGAAAAACGAATTACTTTCTCCCTTTTTTTTTATCGAAAGCTGCTAACGAAATAAAAGTTCTTCTTCCAAGTTGTTTTAAGACTAGAAGAAAAAACTTTCAGTCTGATGATTTTTGGTTTTTTTATTTTGTTGTTGTTTTTTTTTTATTCCCTCCAACTTTCAATCCAGTTACGTTGTACACCGAACGTGCGCTTATTTTCTGAGCAGGCGCACGCATTAATTCAGTTTACAAGGTTTACTTGATTTAGAGAATGTGATTCATTAGATATTGTTCTATCAACATGGTTGGATAGAATTTGAAACTATGTGGAGTTATCTAGGCAAGGTTCCAAGCCTCAAGATTAACATGTCACGCATATTTATATTCCAAAGTTTATAAATGTTTAATTTATTCCAATATATGATATATGCCTTCATTTCCCATCTATATACCTATATATAGGAATAAATATTGCATGTTTCATGCTTCAATGTGGTTTTCAAATCATATATATATATATATATATATATATTGTGTATTTAGGCAGCAATCCTTCATCTATACATGTTTCATTAAAGACAACAGACAAGGTACTGCGATTAAGCTTTTAATTTAATTTTTTGTCTGTTCGAACAAGTTTTTTCTTTTTGGGGCACAGAGTGTATAGAAACTATTCGGAAAATAAAACATCCCCATAAGACTAAAAACATACACACAACCCACACACCCAATTAAATTGAAAAAATAAAATCATCTTTGATAATGGCTAAATGTATAGCCGAAAGCGCTCGGAATTATAGAGCATTTGTCTTCTTTAATGAAACACGCATATATAAATATATATATATATGTATGCGTGTATGTGTGTGTGTGTGTGTGTGTGTGCCTGTGTGTGTCATGCCAAATGACAACAAATTATATAGTAAAGCACAGTGATATTTCAAAGAAAAGAATCACTATACTTTCAAAACAAGTTGCACACATGTTCAGCTTACCAAAACAGAAAACGTTTATTAAATAAAACTACTCTCAACATCAAGGACAGTCTTGATATTGCCTCAAGCGTAGCTGCATGGTAACTTTTCCGAGCTTCAATGCGATTTTCAATCTCTTCTCTCTCTACATATATATATATATATATATATACGACAAAGTGAAATGAGGACATTTTATTTCGCAACTTGTATTTATAGACAGAGCATAACAAATTATCCAATTCATTCGATATCAAAAATCCTATACTTATTAAAAGAGAAAATAACTTACTTAGACGAAAAGTTCTTGAGAGTGGAAGTATCGATTCTTGCCAAAATGTTAACTTACACCCGGTATTTTTTCAAATATTTCCTTTCTCGACCACAAATATTTTTAAAAGTTAAAAGAAAAATCTCAAGACCTTTACATATTTAAAATAAATAAAAATATAAATAATTAAACAAAATAAAGTATCTATATATATCTGCATATATATATATATATATTGACATTTATTTTTAATGTGATTATAGATAGATAGATAGATATAATCACATTAAAAAAATTAAATAAGCCAAAAGAACATTTACTAACTTTCCTTTATTAGACAGATAATTACATCAACTGGCGTCCTTCATAGTTTACCTTTCCTTACACAGCAATTGACTGACAAGAAAAATCTTATAGTTTTTCTAATGCAATGTATTATCTGTTGACAATTTGCATGGAGAATTCATCATGTTTATAATTTTTGTACATCTGAATGTAATAAAAGATATTAATGTTTTGTTATACCATAATTTTAGTGTTGGCGTCGTTTAGTTTCACTAACTCTAGAAATATAGTAAATGGATTGGTGCAAGAAGTTTTCCGCGTTCCCTCAAATATGGAGAAGGATGAAGCTATGGAGACATAGAAAAAAGAAACGGGTTTACTGGTTGAATATCAAGAAATTGAAAGACAGGTAAGGATGGATTACGATGTATTAAAATTCTTTAGAGAGCAAAAGATAGATAAAGATGAAGACGTAGCAAAAATATTTGTGTCTTCCTTATTCTATTTTCACACATGAGGTTAAATTACGTTCTACAATATTTAGATATAAAAATATAGATAGGCATTAAAGATTGAAAAGGATACGGGAGAGAATGTGAAGATACAGGAAAAGAGTAATTCAAATATACTCTCTTAAGTAGGCGCTGGGGGGGAGTCGTAAGTGATGTAAATTGACTTAGTTAATCAGGGAGTTTCGGGTCTTTCAACATCATACACCACCCCCCATCACCAAGTAGACCCAATCAGGGGAGATCAATCCCTGATTTCCCCTCGAAATCAAACACTAGCAGATACCCTGGCCTTTTCAATGAATTAGACAAAAATAGACCACGTGTCCGCACACCCGATTGGATGTTTGTAACAACCAATCCACTGCGCGAACTGTCTTTTACATGGTCACGGTGGGGACTGACTTCTTTTCTTTCTTTTTCAGTGGATAGGAGTTTCAATGGATAACCTAGGAGGTAATTTAACCTTCTTAAATTTAACCCTTTTTGTTATCCCTTAGTATGGTTTGATGCCTTCCACTAAATATTTACGGTTTTGTTTTTATTTATAGTTGGTGGGGACTTAAGCTGAACCCCACTGTTACATTTTTATCGTTTAACCTGATTTTTAACACTAATACAGGTCAACTAACTTCTAAATGGACGTATTCTAAACTTTCAAATAATTATCCATAAACATGCCATGTGTTTTAACTGTACACAAATAATATAAAAGATAAAACACAACAATATTCATTAAAATTGATTTAAAAATACTCTATTTACAAATTATGGAGTCGGTTAGCATACAATAAACTACGAAATACTCTTGAAATAAGTTAAATTACAAAAAAAGGTGAGGTACGCTTTGCCTTACAAAATCTTCCTATAACCTTTAAGAGAAAAAAATAGTAAAAGAACGGAAGCATGGATAATCTTGGTTGTTAAGACATGTGAAATTTATATACGTCTAGTTTTTAAATAATATATTATCTGTTGATCATT